TAGAACGTGTTTGTTCCTGACAATTCCCCTGAGAGATCTACCACTTCAGCACTGGGCCTGATGCCACCACCGGTGCAGAATTCGATCGGCTCATTTGCCTCGTGCACATGTTTTTTGAAGGAGTGCGGCAAACTCTTGCTTGAGATTAAGTTCCTACCGGCACCTGTGTCCAGCAGAAACTCTTGCTGCACTGGCTGGCTAAGGCATGCAATCATGGTTGCCACGGCTTTCATGCATTGCGACAACACGGGAGTGCAGAATGCGGTCTTCGCTGGCGATGACGTCTGTAGCCCTTTTGGCTTGGGTCCCTTATAGAGATTGTTGGAATCATGCAGATAGAAGCACTTATCACCTTTGGTGCAAGCATTATACCCAAAGTACATGCAAGGCTGCTTCTTCTTCTATTCATCCGTTCGCCTAGGAGTGCCCTTAGGAGTTGTGTCCCCCTTCTTACCCTTACCACCCTTACTCTTGTCCTTGCCTTTCCCCTTTGCGGGTGCTGCATTCGCTTCTTTAGGCTTCGGATCTTTGGAGTCCTGGGGCTTCTGGCTAAATGAAGGTTGCTCCTTTTGGGCTTCCCCCTTCTTCTCTGCCTTCTTCTTGTCGTTCTTGTCTTTCCCTTCCTTTGTCTTGGCTGGTGCTGCTTGGGACTTAGTTGCGGATTGCGTGTACGCCTGATCGATCGACACGACATTTTCATCTAGCTGATGAATCTCGATGATTTCCCCGAGCTTCGCGTAAAGCCAAGGCCATGTCCTTTTACTGCTGTTTGGACTGGCGTTCCTGAAACGGTCGATCACCAAAGCCATTTTTGGATGTCCTTTCAATTGCTCGAAAAGGGTGCTCCTAATAGCTTGGTCACTAGGTCTCTCGGAAACTTCCAAGGCCTGGTACACGAAGTCGAATCTCTGACGGAAATCTTCGAGCGCCTTAATGTCGGTGCCGCTCATCTTGAGTCCAAAAAGATGGGTTTGAGTCAAGGCAATTCCCCGATCCTTCTCCATCTTAAACCTCTCAAAGATGACCCACAACAACTTCCGCCCCTTTGGCTGCTTGAAGACTCGTTGCTCTTGCTCCTGAATGGATTGAAAGAGCATTGCAAACTTGGTGTTCTTCGACAGCTCAAGCAGTTTTGAACCCAGCACTCGATCAAGAATTGGGAACGGAAGGCTCGACTCGAGATCGGCTTTGGGATTCGTGCTTTCGGCGATCCAGCTATGGACTAAGGATTCGTCACCCTTTGCAAGCCTACACACAAGGTTGAAAACCGAGTTCCTGAATAGGCGAGCGTCTGCCGCAGTTTTGGGCAGCTGAGGCAACTTCATCTCATCATATGCCTTCACACGCATGAGTTTCTTTGCCCTTGAGTAGGTATCGATTGCCCCGTCAATTTGGGCCATTCCCGGATTTCCTTGAGAAGGAATTGAGGGGCCCTGAGGAGGTCTTTGCAAGCCTCCTGGCGAACCGCCTGGCCTCCCACCGCCTCCACCCTTGTTGGATTCGCTTGCTGAGCTATCCGAGTGATCTGGCGATCCAGGATTGGAATTATGCTGTGAACCATTCTGTGATCCACCCCTTGACTGCCCTCCCACAGATCCTATGTTGAAAATCTGAGGGACTTGCCCTGTTCCTGCCTGATGAATTTGCGGCACAGGTTGAGCGTCGGCAGTCTGGGATGCAAATAGCTCAAAGGCTGATGTGAGTTGATCCAAACGCCTTTCTAATGCACTTAATCCCGGGTTCGGTGCAACTGGAGAAGCATCCCCAAAAATGTTTCTCACAACCCCTGATGGGTCCCATGATGAAACATCTTGTGCACTGATTCCGGTGCATTGAGGCATCACGGGGCTTGCCTGATGTGAACCAGTGCCATGCACTATTGGTTGACGGTTTCCGGTGCCCTGCGGCATCACGGACCCGTCCTGCACTGGCTGGCTGGTGCCCGAAGGCATCACAGCAGGCTGCCCACTCGCCTGCAGTGGCGGATTATCCGCGCCATTATGGATGCATGCCAATTCCTTCTTTAAGGATTGATTTTCGGCTTCTAGAGAATTCAACCTTTGCTCCATTGCTAACAGCCGGTCTGCCAACTGTTGCGCCCTCTGCGTTGCTTCGGCCTCCCTAAGCTGGTGTTCCTTAATTTGGTCACTTGTGCCATGCTGGGTCCTCGTCAAGGCTTCTTGGAGTGCCTGAACCTGTGCATTTGCTTGTGATTCCAAATAAAGGACTCGCTCCTGGGCTTGTCTCAATTGGTCCCCCGATTCATGCTTGGTCCTTTCAAGTGATTCCTGAAGGGCATGAACTTGATTGAAGGATTGGCTTTCCAATTGATTTACCCTATCCCTAGCCTCGGCCATTAAGCATTGAGCTTGGGCTTCAGTGACAATCACCCTTCTATCATTCTCTCTCAAATGCGCTTCAGCTCTTTCGACCAGTTGTTGATCCAAAGATTGAACAACCATGGTCGGCTGGTACACTTGGGTATGATGAGCCTGAGCGTGCATTTCAACATTTGGTGAGAAGTGATGATCCTGCTGCAACTGAGCACTTTGAATGTTGATCCTACTACCCATCGGTTGGGATGATGCCGTGGACATGCTAGTGTCTTCATTACTATTACTGGAGTCTGCGACCTGCGGGGGTGAAAACATCTGTACAGATCCCTGAGCAGCTGGAACTATTGCTGACGGCTCCATTGCTTCTTGAAATCGGTCGGACAGGAAAAGCTACTGACGCAATGCCTGCTTGCACCTTGTGGCGCACTCCGGCCAATGGGCCACACAATCCTCAAGAAATCCGACTGGCCTGAACAAATCGTTGGCCGGTGGCTTCCTACGAAGCTTGATGTGGATGCCCGAGATTTTGTCCTGTACCTGGCGATCGATGATGCTGTTGATGACCTCGTCACTGTCGTCAACGATGAATGCCGAACGGAACCCAACTGACAGCAGATCTTGAAGGACTAGCACCTTCCCTCCCTTCCGGGTCCTGGAGTTGAACCTGGCCCTTTCAGAAGTTGTAATGATGAAGTCAAAAACAGACGAAATATCCGGAGTGCGATTGAACGCAGCAACCAATGCGTCTCGCCGTTCTTGGCTATGGAGGTAGGATAAGCAGATTGTCACAACGTGGATACCTTCGCGAAAGAAAGCGGCCTTCAGCTGTCTAATCGCTTCGAGGTTGTCGTGGCAAATGCCTTCGTAATCCCACTCTGTGCGTCCGCAACGGGCTCTGTCAAGAACCTGGTGATAGTCGATTGCAATCACGCAACTGTCCCGAAAGTCAATGCCGTAGCGCGGCTCGTAGACAAAGGACAATCCTTGATCTTCCCATTTGCTGTTTACACACTTGTACACTCCTGTGGCAAGAGCCAAATCACAAATCACCGCAGCGAAGTGATGCACGGTAGGCTCAGCGCGCCTTGGCGTACGTGAAGTGCCCTCTGGCCTCGACGCAGCTTTGCTGGTCGCCTGGAGCAATCTGTGCTGCACAGGCTCCGCAGATGACGATGCAGGCTCTTCGGCTCGGAGCGACTCGCGCTGCACAAGCCTAAGAGGAGCAGTTCGATCCGCTGCCTTCACAACCCGAAAAGACACCCGATGATTCTGGGGCTCCTCAGTCAGACGCTGTTGCTCGTTCCAAAAGGCCTGTTCGTAGAGCTGTAGCTGTTCCCAGTTGACTTTTTTTTGCACGTGCGAGTCTGTCCCAGGTGCTATCCAGCACAAACGGTGGTTCGTTTGATAGAACCCCCTCGGCCAATCCGTCACGTAGTAGACCAAGTTTCTGTGACTTGCCTCTTCGTCCGGCTCGATGCCAACCGAAGAGGTTCCACAGTTGCGGTGCAACTCCCGGATGCTCGACGCCCTCACCCGCCGTAGCTATCGGTCGCAGCTCAAAAGCTACGGCTGATAACCAGACGAAATACGAATCAAGACAAGTCAAGTAAAGAGTGTGCCCAAAAGTGCTATGGCGACACCGGAAGCTTCACTCGCACAACCTGTTTTTGTCTTGAGCCAAAGCATTCAAGCAATCCAAGGTGAACTGAATGTTTGTTATCAGTGTCAACCCTGGAAACCTGATTCAAAGGGCAGTTCAAGCAAACATGAATTCCGGTGGCAAGGTTGAATTAGACATGCATGCACTACATACCATCAGGAAAATGTGGATTCCAGCAGGAGGCATTCTTCTAGACCCATGGGAAACGGGTATAGGTTTCAAGCAAAAAACAAGCTGGGGACGCATGACAAATAGAGCATCCGAACGAAACTTGAGAACTCAAAGAGAAGCCGCGAGGATAAATACGAACATGCTGCACATGCATTCTCTCAAGGGAGCACATCACTCGACAGGTGGCCGAAAGCAAGTAAAGCCCGGAAGGTAATACAAGGTGACAACCTTCCGTATGGGCCTTCCGTCTGGCTTAAACGACTAAGCATCACCAACATGTCTCATTCTGCCGGCTTTGGGCATCTAATGGCCGGGAGAATCTTCGCCAAAGCGGAAGACTCTCAGAGGTTCGGAAGGCACCCAGGACCTGGGATTTGTCTGCCGTTTCCGCCTCCTCCAGCCAGAAAAATGAGCGAATTGGGGCTCCACGTGTTCGAAACAATGGATGTAATCCAGCCGCATGGACAACATGCACAGGTTCAGAAGACTTTCCAGTAAAGCCCTGCAGTGCAAACCGCTGAACACTGCAAACCTCTCCGAAAGAGTTGGGATATGGGGGGCAATGACCGGCCTTGCAAGCGAGTATTGTTGGCGTCCAAAGAGACCTGGATTGGGTGTGTCTTCTTTTCGTGGCACCCCTTTTTCGTGGTTATAGAGGTGAAATCCCAAACTAGGCCCTCCAGTCGAGAGGTTAGAATAAAGGTACCTTTCTTTCAGTAGTCTATTTTAGTAGGGGACCCCTCCCCCAAAAAAGGGGTTAAGAAGGGCACTACTCGGGGACCTAGGAGGTGAACTCCCAAAAAAAACCACCCGCCGCGCTCCGCTCGGCTCGCCTCCCGCAGAGCTGCGGCCCAGGCGACATTGGCCAGGCCTGGCGCGTATGCGGGCGTTGACAATTGGCCATGGGTCAAAATCCAAATCGTACCCCCAGTGCACATCCCAATCCCAACTAAAATAGACTAAAATGAGTGGTGAATTCACCTACCAACCAAAATGGTACCATTGGTTTTGACCCACAGCCAATTGAGCCATGGGAATCCATGGAATCCATGCCATGGTACTGTGGATGCACGCGAAACCGTTCGCACCGCGAAGTGAAACCACGGCTGCAACCATAACGATTGCCGGTATTTACAGGGGAACCGAATCATTTCAGGGCTTCTGAAAGTGGTGCAGGATTTCGTCCAGCCACAGTATTGGGTGAGTCGTCTTAATTCATGGCAGTTTGCAGTGCAAGAGTCAAGATTACTCAGGGCACTGCAATTTGCTGCTTGTAATTCCACTGTGCTTCCTATTGCCGCCTCCTTGGTCAAAAAAGTTCCATCATGATTCAGGAGCATGTAAGGCATGACTTCTCTCAAGAAGCTCAAGCACATGCTGTGTCAAAGCCTACACCTTGAGATGAGGGAATGTGTGGGTTGACTTGCTTCTGTTGCACACCGGTAACATGTAATGCACCCCCAACCAGCATTCCAACCATGGCCTGGAAGCAACATTGTTGCAAGGGGCGATTCTGATCTACTGAGAACAAGCAAGCACGCCAACATGGAATTTAAAATGTGGTTCCAACTTGTCAGGAGTCTCCATGGAAGGGCCCTGGCTTTAGGTTCCATGTTGCACTTCAGCAGGGTGCCAACATTTTATCCTTGACTACAACACCGAATTCCTTATTGTTCTTGGCATGTCCTGCGACGACATGTTCAAGCTGCAGAACAGCTTTTTCAACGGTGATAGATCGGTGTCTTGTTTTTGTGGACCCCCAAAATGATAGCTTCCCCCTTTGGTGTCCAAAAACGGGTCCCTCAAAAAAGGACACACCCAGATCCTTATTGTAGGTACCATCACAAGGCAGCAGCAGGGATAACTGCTGAGTGTGAAGGGCTGCGAAGGTGAAGGGGCTGAAACAGATGTGGTTTTCTCCCAACATGTTGCCTATCACGAACCTGCAGCCTTAAGGTTACACCGATTTCTGTAGCACTCCTGAAAGGGGTGCTGCGTCAGACTTGCAACTGCAAAACATCAATGCTGCCGGCATGTGGATATTTCGTCAATAATGGCCCAACACGGGTACGTTCGTCTTGCTGCCTTAAACACGAACCAAGCGTGAACACCTAATGCTAGGACACGCCATATGCACGTTTCGCAATTGCCTTGCTGAGAGATCTGACCACTTTAGGCAATCTCAGATGCCCCGTGGCCATTGGAACAAACTCGGCATCCGTTTTTTGGTTGATTGACTTTACAGGATTCGGAACCCTTTCGGAAAAAAAAAGTTGCAGAAAGGAAGCAACCCATTGGGCAACGGGGCTAAGCAAAAACGCTCAGCCGGTGAGCAGAACATGCATGGGCCAATAAACTTGCAGGCAAGTGAACACTTCACGGAACACAAACTGTATGAATGATCACGCACGTGCATCGCATGTAAGTCAATCATAAGGATAGTGCCAAAGCCTATGGTTGCACCCCTTCCTCAATTTCGACCAAACTGCGCATGTTGCAAATCTCCAACAAGTGGAGACGGGGCCATCCTGCAGCCCTTGCTGCTCAAGCAGAGGATTCCAAAGAGCGATTTCAAATGAGGCCCAACCAACAAAAATGGCAATGAACTCGTTGTACCCACGCTTCGCGCGAGTTGATAGTTTGTGGCAAGAGCGCGCCTTGGGGCGAAAGCTCTTTTGCCCTGGTCGCTGCAAGGGCCAACAAGGGATCGGCAGCCTGGCAATCCAGCGGCTGGAGATCGATCCCGCACCATTGACCATGTGACCCCACATCAGGCCCCTTCACCTTGAAAATAAAACAAAAAACACGGGTCCCAGACAAAGCCACCTGCATAGTTCTCCTTTCTGTGATAGTCCCCTTGTTGAGGCCTTAGGCTTTCCATTCAATCAAATGTTCAGCAGCACTTCAAAACCTCCAAAGGTGTATCTCAAATTCAGGTACATGGTGATTGCTTTTCATTTCGGCTCGTTCCAAACGGGGGCGCCGAAACAAAACATGCGGTACCGTGCCGCGACGCGAAGTCCCACGCGCCCGGCTGGAGCAGACGCTCAAGGCCCAGCAGGCACCCGCCAGCTCTGTACAGCCCAGCGAGCGCTGCAGAAGCGCCTGGCCAACAAGTTGATTCCAATGGCTTGAAGGTGGGTTTGAGAATTACCAAAGCAGGATGCCAAACTGGGATGCCAATTTGGGATGCCAAAATGGGATGAACGAAGCGTCATACCAAGCCGCGATACTAGTGTGGGGTTCACGAACCGTTGAAGTGAGATTCACGTCCTTGCGCTTTGTCACTCCAGGGATTCCCTGAATACCAGAGAAACGGTCGCAGCCTCGTTTCCGCCAGTTTCTCGCAAAAACCGACCGTGGTCACACATCAACTGCAGACACGGCGTACTAGCAACGAAGCCACGGGTGATGGTTTCCAGACTCAATCGGCCTTTCTAGTAAAGGGAAGCACGTCAGTCCGCTAATTCTAGAAGGCTCCGGCATGTTGATGTGGAAGGTCAAAATGCGTGAGCCTTTCATGTTGGCTCACCTTCGGAAAGCCACCAACCAGGGTTGCTATTAGATTTGGCCATGACCTCTCTGTCACTTTGTAACCTTCCACCATACCTCGGCATCGCTAGGCGAAACAACGTCAAAACCCTTCCACCACCTGGTCCACTTTCTTGATTTGTGGTTGAAGTTGGTTCTATGTGATTTACCCGGAGTCTGGGCTTTCACTTCTCCGACTCCGATTCATCTGAGAGCCCCAAAGGATCAGTTGTCATCCTTTGATGACTCAACGATAGGCAACTGTTCCAACCTCAACATATGTCAAGTGATAGTGACACGCCACAACAAGTCTATGCCAAGAACTTGAAAGCTACCCTGAATCGCATCAGCGATCATTCATATCTCGAAGGTATAGCTTCCAGAAAATGGAAGAACTGACCTTCCCAACTTCCCAGGGTCAGCCCCCTTCTCAATGTACATGCTTGATCGGAAGGGATCTTATCGGAGTCGCTTCTGGCTCAGGCCAAGTGCCCTGCCTCTTTACGCGCAGCGCCGTTTTCAACAAGCTCCTGTGTGATCGCAAGCCATCCAATAACGCAAACCCTAACAAGGCGGGAGGGTACAAGTACCACCCACTAGTCACCTGGGTCAATCAAAGCATTGGACAAGAATAGCACTCGCGAACGTGTGAATAATTCCCAACATGTTGCTCCCATGATCCTAACTTGAATTGAATTTCAAGTATCCCACGGACCCAGAAGTGTCCTTGGCCGATGCTCTCCGTGCTGTCGGTTTGGTGACCAAAAAAACTGGCTGGTTTCAGGTTGGGTCGTCATTTGCCAATGGGTCCCTCAGTGAACATTTCAGTGAACATCTCAATCCCCACTGAAACAGGTTCTGAAATGGGTGGTGAATTCACCTATCCCAAAATGGTATCAAAACGGTTTTGAACCATGGCCATTTGACTGTGGCTCAAAAAACCGGTACCAAAATGGAAGCCCTGGTAAGTGGAAACATGGACCAAAACCTGCGGGTTGCCCCGAATTGTAATTTTGAGCCATGCCCATGTGTCAATGAAATGTCGCTGATTTGGGCCTTTATGGAACCAGCTTTTCCGTTCAATTGGCGCGCCTCCTCTGCGGAGCGCAGGAACCGCGGCGCCGCGAGGCCCGACGAGGCGACAGCATGCAGAAGGCCTCAGGGGCTGGTATGAAGCTTCATGGCCTTTTAGTGATGTGGTTTGGAATTTCGGAGTCATAGCCGAGATTTGATAAGGATCATAGGCACACGTGGCACACAAAGCATGACAGGCGAGTTCCTTGGCTCTTCTTTGGGGGCGCATCCTATGTCGGAAAGCGTCTCCACGACGCCTGCGAAAAAAACCCGAGCGGCTTTCAAAGAGACTGTGCCGGACAAGGGCCACGACAGTTCGGCCTGATTTCGGCACACACTTCATACCTTGTGCTGTTCTACGTGGTTAGCTCAAAGGCCGGGGGGTCGAAGTATCAGGAAGTATCACACGCCTTAAAGTGGCTCCCTCGCGAGCAAGACCTGCCCTGTTGCCTTCATTCCTGCAAGAAATCTCTGGGTGAATTATACATCGCCAGCCTGTAGGGCCGCGAGAAAGGATCCTGTCGAATCGTGTAGCCTCAAAGTTCTCTCCGATCTCTGTACAGCAAGCCATTCTCGTACGGCTATCAATCATCTTGTCTGAAGTGCAGACTTTGGAAACCGTCTGCTGCTCCATCTATTGGGTTCTCACATGGTTGCTCACATGTCCGTCCGTTTCTTTCTGTCTGTCTGTCTGTCTGTCTGTCTTTCTTTCTTTCTTTCTTTCTTCCGTTCTTTCCTTATGTCTTTCTCTGTTTGTCTGTTGTTTTGTATCTGTGCGTCTGTGGGGTTTGTACTGTCAAAGCATCTGATCAGGACAAATTCATGCTCATTGGTTCTCCCGGAGTTCAGCATCTCTGGCTGTTGCCTGTGCGCTCTTTTCAACCCAGCAATCTCTGCGGAAATATCTCAAAGATAAAATCTTCTTCTCAACAATGTTCAACCAGATTCAGTTTGTGAATCATAACAAAAAAAGAAAGCAGTTGATGCATCACTCCTAAGGAGCTCCAATTTAATTGCTCAACGTCCGAACTGAGAAGCATATCCGTCGCCTGCCAGCTCCTCGTCGCGAAAAGAGTGCAGTCCTCAGACGCGAACGTCCGGGTCAAAAGGCCAAGGGCATGAGTATCGTGTCAGGTGGCAAGCCGAAGCCAGTCTCGGATCACTCTAGACGACTTGCCAATCCCACTTGCCACAAGACCCGACACGAATAAGGAGAACGATTCAGAGACAAGCGGCCGTAAATAACCTACACCAGTATTTTCACACCTAAGTGCGCTCAATGTGTTGTTACCTAGAGACAATTGTGCATCTAAATGCATACACCAAATGAAACCCGAAGAACTTGTAGGACACCTCATCTACGGGAAGCTGCGCGGGAAGTACGGAAAGTTTCGCATGTGGGAATCTTTGCGACACACGCTGCAAGCCTGACCCCGGCAGGTTAGAAGATATTGGATAATATCGAATTCAATATGAAGGCCATCATCTTGGTGCATTACAGTTTTCTTAGGTATTCGATTTTTTTTGGCTGAGTGGGAAACAAATGGGCCGAAGATTTGAAGACTGGTTGCGGCTATCTGATATAGGCTGTTTCGTTGGCGTGGACGGCCTGTTTCTTGCCTGCAATGCTGATGATGTTGTTTGCCCCACTGGGATCATACTTCCGGATTAAGTTATTGGGGTTCGATGGCTGAGAAGGCGTCCGTGCTATCCCTGACTTCTAGGCTTGGCCACGTGAGATTCGCGGCTGCCTGCTAGCATTTGTCTCCGATTTCCGGGTTTTGGAGCTCGATGTCAAATCTGGCTTCCAGTTCTGGCTCCTGCAGCTCCGGGTCTGATCGGTACGAACTCAGGATCTGGAAGAAAGATCTGCGCCGAGAGCCGGGCACAGCTGCCCAAGAATTATTCAGGATTCAGAGGCAGAGTTTCTCCGATCTTTCAAACACTTCGCTTTTCGGCCACTCCCTGAAAAAGTAGTCCACGTCATTGAGCGAGCGCTTGACCCTGCGATAGGAGCCTACAACTTAGAACTGTCGGCGGCCCAAGCGCAACTTATTACAAGTCACCAGTCTGAATTCAAATCTTCTCTTCCACAGCCTTCATGGAATCCGTGGCTCCCCAGTCCAGCTTGACCAGTGCTTGTTGTGACCGGACCCAAGGAAATGGCAGACCCGTTGAATGTTGCACAGAAACCCAACGAAGGCCTTCGGCCGATTTTGTTTTTGAACCGCTGAGGGCAACTAGTGACATGTTGTAATGAAATCCCGCGAATGGATACATCTGGTCTCTGGCTGAGCCATGGGTGACGTGCGCAAAACGTCGTTTTGGATCCCCACTGAAGCAGGAGCGTCTGTGTTAAACAAGGCGCTGATTAAGCCGAGGTGTCCCTGCCTATTCGGACTCATCCAACCGCAGCGCAAGTGTCATCACACTTTGGCATCAATCTAGACATGCTGGCATAAGTCACAAGTGTCAAAGTGACACCTGTTCACCGCATCTAAGGTGCCACCTGCTCACCAAAGTACATGCTGTCATGGCATATGTGATGCATCCAACAACCCAAACCAACAAGAAAGTGCTCGTGTTGGACTCCGGCATCGCATGCTGCCCAAGGGGCCCATGCCCACCGCTTGCTCGCTGAGCTGGTACAAGAGCCTTACCAATCACAGGTGAATGGAATGTATGTGTGGGCCAGGTGTTTCTCCGTTGGCCATCAGTTTCTGTAACACGTGTTTTCTTACAAAGAACTGTTGCCACAACTATGATTCCGAGCTACTTAATTTGAAAATTGGATATGTGATGCCATCAAATGCGGCTACTGTCCTCGAGTCTGGCCCACACGCCTTGTGACACACAACGTTGGGGGTCCTTGATCAAGATCTTGCGCAATAACATCCCACCATGAGTCCCGCTGCTGCAATTGCATTTAGAAGACCGTAGACAGAAGTTAGAAGTAAGGTATACAAGTGGCATAAGTCATTGAACAGTCAACATGCTTGTGGCGGAATGTGTATCTAGTTTAAACCGTTGCGGGTAAAAATGCTTGGCGGACTGACAAACTGCTTACTGTCCTTGTATGTACTTGTGTGCTCGTCCTTGTTGTTGTAAGGGCATGCGCAGAACAAACAGCCATTTCGATCCTTTGAACATGTGACTCTTCAGGAAATTCCGCGAAACAAAACCAAGCGACTTTGTGAAGAAGGAGCCACGCGGCACGCATTTAGAATGCTCATTTTTTCACGCACATGGCCATGGGTCAAACTCCCGTACCCCCAGCGAACATCCCAATCCCCACTAATTAAAATAGACTAAAATGGGTGGTGCACCTACCCCAAAATGGCACCATTGGTTTTGAATCACAGCCACATGGGCTTCTTCGTTTTTGCCGAGAAATCTGATGCCTGCTGATCAATTTTGAACGGCATGGCTGAGCTTGTGTCCGACATTGGACGGGGAGGCTAATATGATATTCCCTAGCACGGCGGTTCGACACAAGCCATAGCCGGTAGATGGGCTCGAGCAGGGTAGGCGTTCTTAGACAAGGGGCCATGGCCTTCCATATGAGCCAAATGCCTTGTGTCGGAGCCTGTAGAGGCTTCCTGACAGAAAACGTTCAGGACCCATGTGCATGAACAAGTGTCGGAGAAATGTCGGTGGGGGTCTTGGGTGTGTTGGGTCGGAAAAATGTCGGTGAGACGAAACCGTGATTCAATCGTCAATTACGCCATGAGCCCCCTATGTGGTGGAAGGTTGCTTTCGCACGCGCTCGTGTTTTGCTTGCACGTCGGTGAGACGAAACCGTGTAAGCGATTCAATCGTCAATTACGCCATGAGCCCCTATGTGGTGGAAGGTTGCTTTCGCATGAGCTCGTGCTTTGCTTGCGCGACCCACGCTTTGGCTTACGCGGCAGTCAGCGAGCATGTCAAGCCGGCGCGCTGGTTTTGAGGGTTTCCCCCCAAGAATCTCCTTCTTCTTCGCAGCCACCAGAGTTCAAGAAAACGTGGAGGAAAAGGAGGTGGATGAAGAGTTGCTCTCAGGATCTCTCACGAAAATCATCTTCGTGCCATTGTTCTTTTTGGGGACTTCCTCTTGGTCAGCGCTTTGGACGATGCCTCCGCTACAGATCAAGGAACGGCTTGTGCGGCATTATGGCATGGGCAGCCGGGCAACCACGCCAGGCTAGATATCACAAACATACGCGCTGCTTATGAGCCTGGACCCCTGAGTTTTGCTGAGTCTGCAGTGCCCGCTTGGCTTGTAGTGTGATGTGCGGTCTCTCCGACTTGTTGTTCTGACCATGGCTTCAAAAGATTCTGCAGAGTCATGCCTACTTCGCGTCGAGAAAGAAAGGAACAATACCGGCGAGCGTTCTTTCGACAACTTCCTTAGCCGCAAAGAACCGCGACGTATGAAGTACAAAACCGAAATCTTTCCACCCGCGGAAGCAGGGAAACTGGGCAAAACACGTGTGAGCCGACTCGATCTACAGAAGCAAACAGTGCAAACTGCGAGCTACCTACGCTTCTTATAACTTCTCGGATGATTCCTTGCAAATTTCCTTCGGGAGCTATGCTAAGTTCCATCAGAGAGGCTTATGCCAGTTGCTCCAATGCGCGCTATTCAAGTTTGTATTGTTTTGCAGCGTGCGCTTTCTGTACTTTGAACCTTGGCAAATCGCCACCTTTCAGCTCCAGCGCGAACATCACAACTGTTCATGTGGTACACAAAGTACATTTTGGCAGCTCCAGATCGAAAATCACAACTTTTATGTAGTACACAAAATACACTTTGGCAGCTCCAGCTTGAACATTGAAACTTTTCAGCAGCTTTTTGAATACAACCGTGCTGCTTCGACCGTTTAACTTATCAGGAAGTGAGAGTATCCACATTTACGCCCTCCAAGTGGTGGATTTAAAGAAAAACCACCAACACATAATTTCGAGAACCCATTCAAAATACCCTAATTACCCAAACGAGGACCCCTGAGTCGAAAAAACATCTGCTGAATCTCAGCTGAGGCACGGGCTCCGCAGCTGCAATGTGCCCAGGGCCCAGCCCAAATTCGCCAGATGCCGCGGACTTCCCGGGAGCTTCAGGTCGGGGCTCGCGAAGAACTGACGGGATCAGCATAGCGGCGTAGCGGCCCGCGCGGGTGCTTCGTTGACTTTGGGACTCACAAGGCTTCCGTTTGCTTAAGCCCCCTCGGAGAAATATATTATACATATATATATATATATACATATGTCTAGTATAGATCGCCTTGAAAACCAACAGGGACAATTAACACTTGTTCTTAAGCAAGTGGAAGAAGGTGAGTGTTGACTGATTTTTTCGCAGAGATCATGCTTCGGAATGAGGGTGCGGATTTGTTTTTCGGATTTTTTAGTTTTTTTTTTTTTTTTTTTTTTTTTTTTTTTTTTTTTTTTTTTTTTTTTTTTTTTTTTTTTTTTTTTTTTTTTTTTTTTTTTTTTTTTTTTTTTTTTTTTTTTTCGTTTTTCGTCCGGGCCAGTAAGATGTCGTATTTTACAGCATTTGCTCGCGAAATTGACGCATTTTACGCTAGCCCGTCAACATCCCCAGCATCGTTTTCAACATCCCCCGCATGTCCGACCAACATCCCTAGCATCACCAACAAATCGTGTGTCTCAAAAGTAGCAGGGGGGTTGGGGGGGGGGGGGCAGCCCCCTCGCATGATGTTCGAGGAAGTGATGATTCAACTAGGTGCAATTAAATCTCTGTAGAAAATCTAAAACGTAGCGGGGGGGTTGGGAAATTGACGCATTTTACGCTAGCCCCCCAGCATCGTTTTCAACATCCCCCGCATGTCCGACCAACATCCCTAGCATCACCAACAAATCGTGTGACGGGGTCAAAAAATACTGATTCAAACAGGTGGTCATTTCAATCCCAGTAAAAAAGAAAAAACTATTTAAAAAAGCGGCGGGGTTGGGGGGGGCGGCAGCCCCCCCCATGATGGTCGCAGAAGTGATGATTCGAATAGGGGTGCAATTAAATCTCTGCAAAAAGTCTAAAAACTAGCGGGATGTTCGAAGAATTGATGATTCAACTAGGGGTGCAATTAAATCTCTGTAGACAATCTACAACGTAGCGGGGGGGTTGGGGGGGGCGGCAGCCCCCCCATGATGTCGGAAGAAGTGATGATTCAAGTAGGGGTGCAATGATTCAAGAAATGGTGCGATAGAAATTAAAAGGCAGCGGGAGGGTTGGCGGGGGTGGCTTCCCCTATGATGTTCGAAGAAATGCATACATACAGACATACATGGACTACACAGATTACCTAAGATGTCGTATTTTGCAGCATTTTCTCGCGAAATTGGACGCTCGAAAAGTGATGATTCAAACAGGGGTGCAATTCACTCTCTGCAAGAAATCTAAAAAGTAACGGGGGGGAGGCGGCAACCCCCCCCATGATGTTTGAAGAAGAGTTGATTCACATAGGGGTGCAATTACTCTGCAAACAATCTAAACAGTAGCAGGTGGCTTGGGGGGGGGGGTTCCCCCCCCATGATGTCCGAAGAAGTGATGATTCAAATAGGGTGGTGGTGATGCTGATGATGCGGGAAGCCAAATCCAAAAACCGATCAAAGGGCGCAAAAGCCAAAAAGCCCGAAGGATGCGAAAAGCCAAAGCCGAAAAGCCAAGAAGACGAAAAGCCAAGAAGCCGAAAAGCCAAGAAGCCAAGAAGCCAAAAGCGGAAGAAAAAAAAACGAAAAACAATCCTAAAATAAATACCCCTCCTCGGAAAAAATCCGCGGGACCATGTGAATCGGGCGTGCTTCCCCTTTGCTCATTTCCTGAGTGGATTGGCCAAAGAACAACTGTTTTCTCACCACTATAAAATGGTCTTCCCAAAACGTGTAAAGTCCAGGAACATGAGGAGTGCGTGTAGTAAGGAAATTATCTGTTTTAGCAGGGACCTCTGACTCCGGAGTCATTTCAAGACAAGTTGTCTTCATGGGAGTCCGAATTTCCAGCCACCTTTTGGGCTGCAAATAGTGGGTCGGATTGACTGAGTACCGGCACGTCTCGAAGCCAATCACACTGATACGAGTTGAGATCAACCACCTCAAATAGTCTGCGGAGACAATGAATCAACAGTTTGGCGATTTAAACAAATACAAGTGATGGTCGAGGCATGCAATGGTGCTTGTGCGAATGCCGGGGATGGTGTCCTCATCCTACCGCTGCTTGTTCACAAGCGGTCTCATGTATCAAGGAGTGCTCAAACTGCAATTCCCCAAACATCAAACGTGGCAAACATCAAGGGACCCCAAGAAGGATGTGCGTAATATCAGGGGCAACGAAAATTACTACAGTGCAAGCACTGTAGAAGAAATCATTGTATAAGAAATTGAGGGGCTGAGATTCCCAAATCAAGCGGGTTGCAAGTGCATTTGCTGCTAAGAAATTGAGCAATTCTATCCCCTAAAAGAAGACAAGGTTAAGAAATTGACTAAGAAATCCAGCCCCCCTGGCTCCAGAGGGATAGAAACCAGCTCTTTTAAAGACGAAATGGACGCTAAGAAATTCACCCCCCTGGGCCTCGACCAACCGAAGTTCTTATACAGCGCTCGCACTGTAGTAGCTTACCCCTACATGAACAAATGCGCTAAAGTATCCCAACAGCCGGTTTAGGGCCGCAGACATAGGTGTCCTTTTAGGGGAAATAGATGTCCTTGATAGATGATTAAACCACCGGGTAAACCACAACCATCTATTTTTTCTACCAACACAACCAAAAAGGACGCCTATGGCCGCAGAGACTTCCTCTTTTTCCAGCCTCATGGCGCAGCCGGCCATCATATTTACAGTAGTGATAGATTCCCTTTGAAACCAACAGTTGTTTTTACTTAAGCAAATATTCCCTTTAAAACCAACAGGGAAAAAATAAGACTTAAGCAAATGTTCTCTTTAAACCAACAGCGGAAGTTTTTTTTTTTTTTTTTAAATAAATGTTTCCCGTTAAAACCAACGGGGGAAAAATTAAGTAATAATAAAACAACTTAAGCAAATATTCCCTTTAAAACCAACAGTTGTTTTTTAAACAACAAAAACAGTTAAAACAATAATAATAACAACAAATAAAAAAAAAAAACAATTAAAACCAACAGGGAAAATATGTTTTCTTAAAAACAGAAAATGGAAGGCAAAGCAAAGGAGTGAACAGCCTCATGGCGCAGCTTCGTGACCGCCGCTGCCCAGGCAAGGTTCGCCACATGCTGCGAGGTGAACTGGCCGCCTGGGCCGAAAACGCGAACGAGAGAAAGCAAAAGGAATCCTACCAATTTGCGGGTCCCCTAAGAGAAGACACCCCGAGCAGTTTTCTACTGGTACCCCTCCCCATTCTTTCCAGGGATCCTTCTTTCTAAAAAAACACAAGAAACCCAAGGAAAACGGATCCGGTTTTGAAAAGAACAATGGTTGAAAAGAATAGGGAATCAAACCCTAGAATCATGTGAGTCACAATCAAAACCCGATATTAACATGGTCTACCCGGAACCATGTGAAGAACTGAAAAGGCGGCCGCACCCATTTGTGCCTGGGATTGCCCCTTACTTCCCGCCAACAATAACAAGCAGATCTGCGAAGAATCGGACATCTTTTCCAGAAACGGCTGCAAGGTCTTTGCAGGGAGGTCTTTGCCCCTGTTTCTGGATCTGCCGGTTTGGCAGCTCAGCCTACGTTGAACTAGAGGCTAAGGCAGCCAACACAGCAGCGGCAGCGCGCTCGCCTGACTCTAGAGCGCCCTCCATGTAGCCGCGCCACTGGTGAGCATATTCTGTCCCGGCAAAGCTAATCCTTCCTGTTTTGGGTAAGAAGCCTTCGGGCAATTTCTTCCATTGACCCATGCCAGGAGTTGACAAGTACCCACCCAGGGAATTTTCATCGCTGATCCAGTTGTGATAATGAAAGGAGAGGATTTCCTCGTCAAGAGGACCCAATGATGCGCTTAGGAACTCGACAAAGTCTGTCTTGAGCTCCTCCAGCGACTTCTCGCAGATTACTTCAGCTTGGGGGCCTGTAACAAAGCCCGCCAAGACCCCGTTTCCTGTCGAGTGACTCAGGTCTGCCACTTCGGAAATCTCCAGCGCGCCCGAAGGACCCCCGAAAGACGAGACAAAACCCGTCAGGCCGCGGTTGCGCCACCAGGGCGTTGGAAAGACTGCAATGAGCTTCACCACCTGGGTATGGGTCAAAATTAAACCATCAGGGGACCGCAGGTTTTAGGCCATGTGTCCATTTACCAGGGCTCCATTTTGGGTATTTATTTTTGTCCCACAGCCACCTGTCCCAAGACCATGGATGAGGCCACTTCACTGTAGTTGCTTGGTAGGGCAGGCTGAAAGCTGATTCGCCCCAGAAGCTGTGGAGGAAATGCCAAGATCAATTCCTTTCCCACGTAGACCGCGCCAGTGCTGGTTTTCACCAAGACCTTGTCTGCAGTGGTGTCCACTTCCACCACGCGCGTGTTCAGCTGCACATCAGACCGAAACTCCTCTGATAGATTGACAAATATGTTCTGAAGTCCTTGATCAAAAAAGAATGTTTCTGCCTTCTCCTGCTGTTCAATCGATCCAAATGTTTGCATGGTGTGTGCAGCAGCATAAAGTGAAATCTCCTTCGGATCGCGGCAAAACCCGCCCTGCAAAATCGAGAGCAAAAGCGTGATAGCACCATTAGTCCATGAGTTCTTCTCCACATAGTGAGCCACGCTTGTATTGTCATACGTGTCCAGGTTTTGCTTGAACCCGCTCAGTGAGACACGTTTGCAGATTCTACTCATCCTCCACATTCTCATCATAAAGTCAAGGCCAGAAAAGAATCCCATGCCATAATTGCCGGAGTGAAGCTGTTTTGCGCCATCTCTCCACACCACCCCTTTTCCTGCCCGGTAGTGTTGAAGTTTCCTGTATCCAGAAGTGTTCACCAGCGTGTCCAAGCGATCATGTCCTGTTTCAGCCTGCCACTGTGCACCTAGTTCCACGTGAGTTCCTGAGGGAAGCTTTTTGCTGAAAATTCGACCACCGACTCGGTCGCGGGATTCCAGAACCACCACATGTTTTCCAGCTTTGTGCAGGATGGAGGCAGCATTCAAACCAGCCGCACCAGCACCAGCGATGATTACATCAACTTCCTTGACCATAATTCCTCAACCTACTTCCTGAGTGGATTGGACAACACAAGTCTGAACTTTAATTTTCCACTAAAGCGGGTATTCCCAAAAAGTATAAAGTCCAGGAACTCGGGAAGTGAGCTTAACTTCTATGGTTCTTTGGCTTTAAATGGCTGAGTACAAATCAATGAGCCTGGTTGCTTGGTGACCAGCGTGTCTCGCTAAGGTGCTTGCAAGGTCCCACTCCGCGTTTCCGAAAAAATAATCGGCGTGGCAAATATGTGGTGACAACTAAATATTGATTGATGAACCCGCCTCCCAAGCGTGCTGAAGCCTCATCAAGCAGGGCTGCCACCGCTGCCGGCCAGGATCCTGATGCGATTGAACGCATTAAAACCATACTGTGGACGAAATCCGTGTCGCACCGCTTCAAAACCATGGTTGAAACCACTGCTTGTTGGTATTTACAGGGGAATCATCATTCCAGTGGTTTCTCAGGTGATGCGAAATTTCGTCCGTCCACAGTATTACCCTTCCGCCCATTGACATGGAACTTGACAGGAGGTAGGGTAATATCCGCATTCACAATGATCAATATCACCAAAGCACCCACCAAGTATGCAGGTGTGCGGATGTTCTCAGAAAATGACGACCCGCGGAAAAGGATACGATGAAGTCATGCCTATACTGATTGGAACAAACTAAAAAGCCCGGCCCAAAAACAGAAAAAATGTTGGCATCCGTCGGCAAGTCAACCTGTGCAGGGAAGACTCCAGTTGCTGACAATTAAAATGACCTTTAAACTTTACCGCGGGCTTCAAATTGGCTCTGTCATGCGGGTCTTTCCCAACTCCAATCAAAAGAGTTGGAAGAATGCCCAAACCCAGCTCAATCCAACGCGGTGATTTTGACACGAAAAGCAACTGCCTACTGGCTCAGGCAAAGAAATTCAAGGATGGCAACCCTCAGAGTGATTGTTCTCCTCCAAAGCTGATCTCAATCCAAAGGTTCATATCCACAAACAGACAAGAGAAAGGCCAACATTATACCCGATGTGCCCCTATGTTATTATACATATTTTGTTTGCAGCATGAAAGCACAGGTGGGGCATCACAGGTCGAGCTTCTTCTTTCAGTGACTTCGCGCAAACCTTGCAGTATCGCAAACGAGAAGGCGAGCAAGAGAGCGTCTCCCACAAAATTGAGCAAAGATCAACTCGTAGGGTGCCGCAGAGTTGATTACCCCCGCATAGATGAGCCGAAGATGTTGACCGAAGATGAAATAGGCCGGAAAGCGAACTAGATGCCCAGAAAAAGAAGAAAAGCAAACGGTTTGCCCCCAAAATATTCAGGTAAATCGATGCCTGTAGCCTCGGGCTTTTGCAGATAAAATAAACTAAACAGGAATTCGACTCAGCTTCAAGCCGGATCGACCAGTTCACGCATTGGCTACTCTTGCGCAGAAACATGGACGTGAGCAACAACCCTCCCTTTTCAAAGGAACGATTGGGTTTGCAATGGTTTGCACATGTCCAATGCTTGTTGCCAGCAAAAGAGTGAACACAAACGTCAGCCAACAAAAAGCCTCGCTGCAACGAAGGCTGTTTCTCCCCGATCCCTTTTTTCTGCAAGGCGCCAACCACCTCTCAACTGCACCGCTGGGAAACATATCCATCCGGTTCTTGTTTAGAAGTTAAAGATGTGCCGGCCGATTTAGCACCCAAACAGGGTGCTCCATTCCAGTTTCTAATAGAGTCTAACTTCCTGGGATATTGAGTGAACTGTAGTGACCTATTCATAACTCAGCCGCCTCAAAGCCAGCAACGAATTGCAAGGAACTCCAATGAGACCCTCACACACCTCACACCCCCCACCCACCCCCACACCCACCCCCCACCCACCCACCCCCACACCCACACCCACCTGGCTGAGCCCACCCACCCGCGCCTGCCATGGCCCAGGCGCAATTGGCCAGTCCCTGCGCCCCAAAGCTCTCGCTCTCCGCGGCCGCAAAGGCGGCGCACGCCGCCATGGCCGGCGCCTGCGGATCGAGAATCCCTCGTCTCAAGTTGCTTGCGCGCGAGCTTGCGCTTTCTTTACGCGACACATGTCTTAGCTTGCGCGGCAGTCAGCGAGCATGTTAGGCTTGCGCATGGCTTACGGGTGGGCGTTTTGAGCGTTTACCCTCAACGAATGCTTACGCGAGCTGCTTTTCTCATGCAGTCGCCAGCACTGTTCAAGATGATGCGGATGACTCCTCCTGAGTTTCAAGCGGCTTGTCACTATTCTTCCGGCTGCAGGTCAAGAAACGGGTGATGCGGCAGCGGCATCCATCGCGAGGGCGAGCGGGCAGCCCAGCTAGGCGAGCTTGCGCGCACCTTGCGCGCCTGCTTACGCGAGCTCACGCGCCCGAGCCTCTTTAGTTTTCCTAGATCAGCAGGTTCAGAAGCCGTTGTTTGTCCGAAAGGTTGCAACAGCACCTAGCCTAAGCCCCAAGAGCTCCCAATCAAGGTTCTGCTGGTTGAAATTTGAACTGGTATGCACCTGCGGTCTCAGACGTCTTCCTGCCAAAGTCTCCGAGTTGCCAAGCTCGACTAGGTTGCAACACAAGCCACCAGTCTCATCAGCACTCGGAAGATTCCGATGCTAAGCAGGTGCTTCCGCGGCTTCCCCGAAAAGTGCTTTCGACGGCTTGCGCCACAACTCTTGCTTGGGATGTAACGGGGGGTTTGGGGCCTTAGGTCTGGGACCCTTCACTCATGTATTCATTTGGGGGGGCAAAGGGGGTTACTGCAGCGCAGGGTGTATGAGCAGAAAAAGGCAAAGAAGCTAAAGGAAGCTAAAGGAAGCTGAATCAGGGGGCGATCGAGGCGATCGATTTGGCACGTCAGGTAAGTAGTGTTCAGGTTTGTTTGGTATCTGAGCTTTGGCCGGAACATGTCCAAGTTCAGTAGTCTATGCTTCATTTCGGGGCGTGGGGGACCTAGTAAGCCTGGTCTAACCCACACGGAGACTAAAAAAACCAGGGCTCTTGTGTTTTTTTTTTTTTTTTTTTTTTTTTTTTTTTTTCCGTTGTCACAAACTTACATGACGTACCTCATGTCCCTTAAAGGGCCTGGGAGCCTGGGAGCAATGGGGAAATTGGATGAATTTGCGTGAAGGGCTGGTAGAAAAATGGCCCCCTTTGATGAATTTTCTTAGAGAACTCAATCGATGGGCCCAAAAAGCCATGGACAGAACCCAAGTCATAAGGGAAGCTTGATGGAAAAAAATCCTAAGGGTAACACAGCAATGGGGGTTGCTTCTGAAATAACCGGGATTTGGGGGCGACGCTGCCTCTTTGGGAATGGTTTATACGACGGCGATGAGCAGAGTGAAATTGACTAGAATTGATTTGAGACGTGTTGGGGTTTGCCTGTCCGTTGAATGAGAATCGCTATGGTTTGCATTGGGTGTATTGACTTGAGGAATTTAGCTTCATTGAGTTGATGGGAGGTGTTTTACAATCAAGCGGATTGAACTATGACGAGTTGGCTGGGCTTTCGAGCAGATTGGGTTGGTTGGCCCTGTCAAGTCGGCTAGGGCTGGTTGTATTGAAAGGTTAATTTGCTGTGGGCATGCCATGCTGGCAAGTCCGCGACAAGGATGACACATGTTGGTCTAGCAAATCGGTAAAGATTGCTTCTTGTTGATTGCTTTGATGGCCAGAACTATAGACTAGACAGCATTGTATTCCCATGTGTAAATCTTGAGAAGGAAGACACGTAACCGTACAAAACAAACTGTACTAAGAAACAAAATGCATCATTGGCAACAAAAGTCAACAGTCGCCTCAAAGGGTCCTGTTTGAAGTGGAGGTGCCAGTTTGCAATACCTCGACATATTCAGAGGATTAATTACTTGTTTCCCAATTTCTCGGTGGCAAACTGCAATACTGTTAAGTCAAACGCAACAGGCTCTGAGCAAACATGACTGGATATTTCCGGTCACATATGCAGGGTGAGTTCCTTGTCATTTTGAAGCGACTTGATTGAAAACCCTCCTTGGAAGTGGCGGACCATCCAGAACTTGAGTCAATGTTTGGCACTTCTCTATGGTTGCGACCTCTTCTCAGCATGAGGGGCCTGTCACTCAACCAACCTTCCAGCAAAATTGAACAAGCTGTGGGGTGCTCCTGTGGTGCTTAGGGTGAGCCCCTTTTTCGCTTAAGCAACAAATGACAACAAAAGCAACAACTGGATGGTAGCTGAGTAGGTCTGGGCAATGGAGATCCAGCCCATCGTCTTTCAACTGCCTTCAGGGCAAATCAAATACAAAAACAGGCTGATTCAACACCTAGTGAAACACTGCAAGCCTCATGAGCTTGTGAATCACATTGACCTGCGTGGAAAGCCTAGTATAGAACGAGGGCCCCTGAATGGACTCGCCCAACATCCGCTGCTTTAATGCGCCATATAAATCCAATGAGCCGATTGCATCAACATGGTTGTTACCATCACCGCGTTGTTTCATGGCCCTGTTGGGGTTCAAAGCATCCGCCCATGCCCACCTCCCGCAACTGCACGGTAGCCAATGACCAGCTCAGCTGTGCCTTGGGTAGATGGGCAAAATTCCCAGCATTTAGTCGTGGGTCTGGTGGATTCATCCAAATCCACCACACAATTGACAAACGGGGCTGGTCCTTTGATCAAATTCATGTTTTGGCCCTGCGGAAGGGAAAATGAATCAATCCCTTCACGGGACACACTCCGGCAACCAGACAAGAATTGGGGAGGGGGGGGAATGTCATGGTCGGAGTTGTTCCATGAAAACAATTGCACGAAGCCCCCGCAAAACACCAGAATGCATACACCCCCAGTAAGTATCAATGCAGCTAATGCCTTGCAGCAGCTTCATCCTCAACACAAACATTCCTCAATGTGGCTTTTCTGATGATCCCAAGAAACCTGGTCTCCGTTCTCCGAGTGACGTGTTTTGTTCTTTTTGTAAACTTATTGTCCGTGCCAGGGGGCGACATCGATTGCCGTGAAGCCAGTGCACAGCCTCGAGTGGAGGCGAGGAGTGCGGTTTGACCCACGGAAAAACCAGGCACTTCAAGGGGCGCCTGGTTTTAATCTACTTAGGAGACGTAGATTAAGTCCTCCAGTAGAGAGGTTAGAATAAGGGTACCCTCTTTTTCTGTAGTCCATTTTAGTAGGGGAACCCTCCCCCAAACAAGGGCAGCCTTGGCAACATCCTTAAATTCATGAGTGGGCATGATTCCGCTAGGTCGTATTTGGAACACATATGTCAATGACACGTGATATGTATGATGTGTATGTACATATATATATATATATACACCCACAGCCCCCATGGGTTGCCAGCAGGCGCCCCATCCAGGCCATACGGCTACCACAAGCAGATGGCCCAAGCATTGCCTGTTTGGAACTACGTAGCAGACGTCGTGCAGCCAGACTTGGCCGGTGCAAGGCCGCGTCATGTTCAGAGCGTGGCGCCATGCTACCAGTGGCGCCGTGATACCGCCCACACGTTGGGGGAGCAGGCAAGGTTTTGTTTAGCTTTAGGAGATAGGGTTGAGGTTTAGGGTTTCGGTTTTGGTTTAGGGTTTAAGTCTAAGGTCAAGGTTTTTGTTGGGGGGATTAGGTTCAGAGTTTAGTTTTTGGTTCAGAGTTTAAGCGTTCATATTTAGCTCTGAGGGTTTAGGCTTAGGGCTTCTCGTTTCGGTTTCGAGTTTAGGTTCAGGTTTTCGGATTGGAGTTTTAGGTTTAAGCGTCAGTTCGCGGCGCAGGCAACCCAGGGCGGCTGGTCTTCTTCAAAAAATAAAACATATTAGTATTATATATATATATATGTCATATGTCTTTGCGTGAAAAGGTCTGCGCTTCAGTAGACATCCTCTGGTATTTTCCCAGTGCCTCCACACACCTCAGGTGCCAATCCCGCCCCCTCAGCCTCTCATGCCCGGGTTTGCTTGAATCCACGTAAAGCTTACGAAGCCATTGCCAAGCTCATGCTAAATCAGCCAACCCTAACAGGGGGCGGGAAGCAAACCTGGATCATAACGGATCCTTGCTCAACCTTTAGTCAAAT